GAAGACATGCTCTGTTTGCTCACACAGTGGCCGGCAGGAAAACAGAGAAAGACACTTATTAAAAAGGTCATCTCACAGAGGGTTAAAATAGCAGGGCAAGGATCTCTCTTGGGGGTGAGGGGTGGGGGCATGCCCCTCCTCAAGTGAAGGACACAAGAAAAGGTGTTGCTCAGGGGAACTGGACCCGTAATGAAAGAATAGCCACCAGGCTGACAGCCGGTGTGTGGGCTCGGCTATTCAAATACCATCGGAGAGACGGGATTGGAGAAATGATGCCGAAAATGTAATCTTTTGAAATAAACTTTGAGCAAGGGGTATTCTTTTTATTTACAGTGTGGGCTTGCTAATAAACACGTGGAAATGAGACAAGGTGAGGGGGTCTGAGGGTAGGCTGCATTGACTACAGCTGCAATCTCATATCTGCTAAATGAACATATCTTGCACCAATGGAGAGCAAAAGTCAAAATACAGATACTTCTCCTCTTTCTTTGTGGAGGATCTGTAACAATATGAGGGAGAGCTGAGATAAAGTATTTGTGAATTGTTTTTGGAAAGGCCTGTGGAATAGCTGTGCCTCCAGCCTCCTGTCTCCTCCCTAGGGCAGCCTAAAGCCCTGTCGGCAGGATGCTGATCCCCACACGGAAACCTGATCTGCAGCCATCCTGGAGCCTGAGGAAAACTCCCCACCCCCAGCTCCACAAACTCCCCCCTTGCTTCTGCCCCAGTGTTAAAGGGGTGCTCTAGGGGAACATTCTTCAAGCCCTGCCCCAGCCAGCTTCCACTTTCTCAACTCTCTGGAGGAGCATTCTTCCAGCCCTGCCTTAGCCTTCACTGGGATCTCCTGGGGAGCATTCCTGAAGCCCTGCCCCAGCCCAAGACGGGCTCCCTGGGGATGCATTCCTGCAGCACTTTCTCTCCCTGTTTCCCTCTCCCCCATCTCCCTCTTCCTCCCTTGCTCCCTTTCTCATGCTCTTGCCTTCCTCTGCAGTCCAGCATTAGTACGATCAATACCACCGATCGCATCGGGGACACCAGGCAATCCATACCCATGCGCTCCCTTAGCGCACTGCAGTGGTCACAGCTTAAGTGCATGGAAAGGTGTTACACCTCTGCTAGATGGAGGGAGAGACAATGGCTGCCATTGATCGAGGTTGCATGTAACATCTTTCTCTGTCTTTCTATTCATCGGGCGTGGTCAACTAGCCGTTTTGACTTTATAGCTTGTTTTGTCTCACAGATGTATGTTCCATTGTCTTTATTTTCATTTTTATTATAATGATTGCTTCACAAATCCTGTAAGAAAACCTGCAAATGTGATGAAAAAAAATGAAATATCTATTTTTTCAACTATTTGTTATATAAAAATTAAGCCTAGTGAACTGTAAAAAGACAAAGAGGCCAGAAAATGCCTGCATATATTTTCTTGTGTGATTCTAGTAACACTCTGTAGGACAGAGTTCTGTCAGCATACAAATCTTGAATGAAATTGAAAATGTGGATTGGTTCCAGTCAAGCTCTGCAATTTGTAAACCAAAAAAAAATTATACAAAACTGAAAGTTTAGCAGGTGCTGGCAGTTGATTAGAAAATGGTTCTAATAAAGCATCCATCTGTGAGCAGAGGCTCGATGTAAGGCTGATTAATTGGTCATGGATGTCTACATAATGCCACGTAGGAAATCTTTCAATATTCCTGAGAACACACAAACAAGCATGTACACGCACCAACATTCAAAGTACTTAGTATGCCATCTAGAAGTTTCCTTTTTCCCGCTGCGTTTGAATACTAATAGAGTGTTTCTGCACAATCACAATACCCTAATGGCAATTAGATTCTTTTGTTTAGTTTCCACAGGGGCCCTTATCCAAACAATTTCTTTTCTCCTATCATTGAGCAATTAAGAGTTATTTTTCTGTTAGATTGACATTTACAAAAGATAGGGCTTAATTATGGAAAAAATATGACTGAGTCAGTAATGACCATTGTTGAATATTGCAGTTTACAAAAGACTTTTATTTTTCCTGTTATGTGGATTCTTTTGCTTTCCTTTTAAAAGTATTCATGCATTATTGACCTTTTGTCACGCTACAAACATTTCTCTGGATTTCTCTGGAAATTACAACAAGGCGAAGTACTGCTTAGTTGCAAAGTGGAAGAAAAAAAATATACATGGATTTCACCTTATTTGTTGCTTTATAGAGCTGACTACCTGTTTAGGGATACTGAAAAGATAATGTCTTTTGAAGCAAATACAGGTTCTCTTCCTGGTTTGTCGAGTAATTAACTGGATCCACGTTTTTTTTAAAACCTCTTCTTCTCAAATTAAAGGCATCCACATAGCTGTGTAGCAACAGTGTGTTTAAGGTGTAAGCAAAGTTAAAGTGTTTTCTATATAGGAAAAAAAAGTTAAACTTTGTTCTTGTCTGACCAGAGTCTTTTACATTTATCCCCCACATGGCAGAAAAGTGCATGCTAGAGTTTTTCCTTTTCTGCCTCTCTTCCATAAAGGTCAGCTTTGTAAAGTGCATAACAAATAATTGTTGTCTCAACAGATTCTCCCACTTAGCTCCTCCATGAGCCTCTTCGTTTCTTCTGTAGCTTTTGTTTCTGTACTGAAATTAAACTATGCACAGTTGGACTCTTATTTACTAGTTAAGCAATTGTTTTGCTAAGACTCTATTCAGGAGTATTACAGGAAAGGCAAATTCAAACAAGACTACATACCGTAGTTTTTTTTTTTTTAAATAGAGTATTTGAAAACCATGAATAATTTTATCCCAGCTCCCAATTATTTGCTATAGGGATGCACGATATTGGGATTTTGGCCGATATCCGATATGCCGATATTTTAAAACTCATGTAGCCGATAACCGATATTGATACCGATGTTAAAGCTGGACAAAAATAAGTAGTCATTGAAAATAGCAGATTTGTTATCCATTTCTGACACTTTGAAAAATAATATACTCAAATATATTTTCATATGCTGATATCAAATTGATTTTTAAAAACGCGGTATCGATCTATTTTACTTTTAAAATCTCGTGAAATTTCATCGTTCTGTTACAAACTCTCGTGATATTTTGCAAATTCTTGTGAGATTCTGTTAGTAAAATAGATCGATACCATGTCAATATATCAACATATAAAAATATGGCAAAATTTGGTGAATTTTCGTGGGATTTCGTAGCGTAACGATGACATATAGCAATATTTCATTAGTAAAAGAGATTGATATGGTGTTTTTAAATGGCAATATAACAGCATATGAAGATATTGTGGTATTTGAATGTATCAATATTTTTTCCCTCGTCTTTAGAAGTTTTTAAGTCTGTAAAAAAGAAGTTTTTGAGGAAGAAGAAGAAGTAGTTTTTTTTTTTTTTTTATACTTTAGAAACTCAGAAGCTGATCAAATATCGGGTTAAATATTGGTGGGGTGGCCGATGTCCGATATTCAGTTTTAAGGCCGATACCGATAGGGGGTATATCGTGCATTCCTAATTTGCTATATTGTTTTTCTCTATTACATAAAATGCCAATAAGGTACGTTGACGATTGTGGTTGCGGCCTGTTAAAAAACTAAAATTAAAGGGGTACTTTCACAAGGTCTCAAGGACAGACAGGCTGTTGAGACAGTAGCAGGGGAGGCACCCATTAAAATGTTTCAAACCAGTTAATTGTTAAGTTTAAATCAAGCATATTGCAAAATAAATAGAAAGCATTTTGAATTTCATACAAATGAACTTGAACTGAAGCAATAGACAGGCCTGCTGGTAAAGATGCTGAGTCATCCAGGAAAAAGTACTTCCAAGGAAGGAATAAAGACAAAGACATAGGAATTCAGCTTTCATGGTGGAAAACAATTGATCCTTCCTCTGAATGGTTTTCTTTAATTAAGATGAATCAATCTTTAATCAAGATGGAGAAGTTCCAGGTTTTTCAGCAGTTTAGGGGGTCCTTTGAAGAGAGTCATTTGAATAAAGTCTTCAACCAAAAAAAAAGAACGCCAGTTCTTTTGTTTTTTGGTAATGAGCAAACATGCTTTTATGCTCTAAAGAACACAACTATTAGTTTAACACATACTCTAAAATGAACACCCTCAAACACTGGACTTGTGTCTTCAAGATGATGGAAAATCTTCGTAATGCTCTTGGGATGTCAAACCTATAATTTGTGGTCGGCTGACTGTGGACTGCAAAATGTGAAACCAAACTGAGCATGAATGTAAACAGAAGACAGACTAAGCAAGGGTTCTCAAAAAGGACCCTCAAGTTTGTGTTAACCGACCTGTAGAAGTTTATAGGGTGTATCCAACTTCAAATAATCATATCCTGGCTTGTGTTGCCACTTTGAACGTGCCTCAGATGCCATTTCTCAATCTAGGCCCATCAGGATGTGTAAAAGAGGACAGCAGGTCCAGGAAAAGCACATGAAAACCTTCAGTTCACATCATTAGTTCTGTCTGCCACCTTGTCAGTGTATTTTAGTCCTATTCATCCATCAACAGGTCAATGACATAGTCTGCCGATGTCATCCTTCTCCTTGAGTCCCACAAGGTATCACTACTGCAGCATATTAGCACTGGGACCAGCTGGGGGACTTTCCTATAGGGAGGTTGTGTTCTCAGCTGATAATCTGGACCAAGCAACTCCAGATCACTAACAGATATTGTAAGAAGAGATATGTATGTGTAGTAAAACAAGCAAGGGTATGGCTCTGATTATAAATACTCATTGTACAAGGATGAACAGAGGCCTATTTGTGCACCAGGTCCTAGCTTGTAGGGTGTATATAAATAGTACCATACGTGTATGAGGCCTATGTTGCTGGATATTTACCAGAAAAACTAGAAAATCTGGTGTTGTGCTCCCCTTGTTGTAGTGTACTAACACACATAGCTTGGCATATTCTCTATTGAAGGCACAGGCAGTAAGAGTGGGAGTGGGAGATGAGCTGAGTGGCAGAGAGGATGGGAGGCTCAGTGGGCTGAACGTTGTTTACCTGTCAGCTGGCATTGATTAATCTTGTGTTCGGTGAGATCGCTCAGCGACTCGAACACCTGCCGGCAGCTGTCGCAGCTGTGCAGCGCAGGCTCCTCGTCCTCCTCTTCTCCCTCCTCTCCTTCCTCTGGAGAGAGCAGTCTCTTCCTCAGATGCCCGGCCTCACCATCCTCCGCCACCCTCTCGAGGGCGCACTCTGGATCTGCAGAGCCACAGGAAATGACAGTACCACATAGTCAGAAGGGTGACCCGCGTGGTGAGGTACTACAGTTTCCTCGGGGTGACGATAAAATGGATTTCTAGACTCTGGATTTAATAAAAACAATAATAAAAGCTGTAATAAAAATGCAGGTTCAATTTGGACCTCTGTAACTCAACCACTCGTGCCATAACAGAAGTTGTGGGAAGATGGGGTTAGAAAAATACAAGCAGAAAAAGGTGGAGCACACTCATTTCAAACACACAAACACACACTCTTGTTATTAGAAATGGTTTTACGTTGTGTTTGCCCTGCTTCACCCAAGCAAAACTTTAGTATATGAAACTAGACTGATGGGAATATGTGTAGTTAATAAATCTGGGATTGCAGTTTTTGGCTGGACCAAAAGAAATATGAAATTTCACCAAGCGTGTGCTGAACTGCTTCATTCAGCATTTATCAAAAAAGACAGACAAAGCCAGGGCTGTAGATACAAGGAGCACAGCTTGGTTTGAAAAAATGCAGAAACCGAGATTGTTGTGCATTAGATTGTCGTCACAACACACTTGCTTAAATTATTCAGCCTTGCTCACAGGCAGCCGCGGGTCGTGCACATCAATATTCTTCAATCCATCTGCAGTTTTGTCTCTTGTTGTCTTTGTGCCGCAGCAATGCCAAGGGTGGGCCACTGACTACCTTAAGCCAAAACCAGCAACCATCTTTCAAATTACTCACAAAAAATCTCTTGTTCTCACTATAACGCAGAAAAATCTAGGTGTTAATCTGATTAAAAGACAGTGCTTTCACGTCTTTGTCACGTCTTTCACGTCTTTGTTTCACGTTCATGTTTTGTCGAGCAGAAGAACCTTTGCACTTAACCAGCAGCCATTTTAAGCCACACTGATGAAAGTGTTCTTCAGCTTGTCTGGCAACTCTGCAGGGGAACATTAGGTGAAAGCCTTTTTTTTTTTTTTCATTCAGCGAACCGTTCACAGCACCTGAGGGCAAAGAGCGCATGGCACCGACATGCACAGGTGTGGGTGTTCATATATTGGGTTGTATAGCAGCCATTTTAAGACCTCCTTCTCTTCTAATATGAAATTCCTTTAGGAAAGGCGTTCCAGAACTCATTGAGGCCACCCAGGATTTTTCCTTTCCCCCCACTTGCGCCAAGTATTGATGTAACATCACACCCTCCATTGTCCTTCCCTCTTGGCGACGGAGGCTCTCGGAACATGCCCTCTAAAAATATCAGCGCCGTGGTCCCAGGTGGGATGATGCAGAACAGAACAGAAGGTGTTTCAAGAAAATGAAAATCCCAACCCAATCCTCACAGGCGCAGGCCTTTCTTGCTCTTGGGGAAACACTTCTGACTGAGGCCAAAAGCCACACAATATAGACTTATGATTCATCCACACATGCAGACGTTGAATTTGTACCATAAACTAAAAACTAAATACATTTTTCCCATCATTTCAATTATTAATTCCTTACTTGTTTAATATTCTATCCTTATCCAGGGAAATCTACCAATAACTACATTAAGGCATTTATCCTTTACAGAATCTTCAAATTAATACCACAAACTATATCATTTTATGTGATGGATTGACAAATACAGCACATAATTCTAAAGTGAAACTAAAATTGTGCTTATTTTTCTTGCAGGCCAATAAAGAAAGGAGTGATTGGTAAATATATTTTGAAAAAAATAAAAATCTTGTTCGCTAGAACTTTAGTTGCTATTTTGGGTGACGTATTAACAAGTTTTGCACTCGAGAAGCTAAAATACTTGCACAAAAGCCTAAAGACTTTAAAGGTATAGTGGAGGATGTTCTTTTCTGGGTGGATCATCAAAATAAGCGGTACTCCTAATTGTCAATCATTCTGGTGATATGTTTACATGAGGCGTTCCTACGTGCTTGTCCACATTTTCACTTATCGTGTACAAATAGCGAATCTTCTTTTCGAAAGTAAGCTTGTAAGAGCTATGTAGACAGCAACTTAAACAGAGCGTGCACAAGGAGAAATTGACTCGCGCATGCTCTTGCACGTGTTTAATAGGCGTTCCCTCTCGAGAATGGGTACATGGTTGTTCATATGCAAATTCTTTGGAGAGGGCGGGTCTACTCAAAAATTCGCAAAAATTCTCCACTAAACCTTTAACAGCAAGACTGAATGTTTATTGCTTGTGAAGAGCAATTTTCTAGTCTTTTTCCAGGCTATTGCCTGAATATTGGGCTGGAGTTTGATTGGACCATTTCAATATATAAATATGCTTTGATGTAAATGACCTGATAGTTGTAAGATTAGTTGTTTTTGCCCTGTTGGAAGGTAACTTCTCACTTCTTGTACTCCTATGGAGATTCTTGAAGAATAGTTTTTTGGAGCCCATGGCTAGCTGTGTTAACCATCTCTGGAATGCCTCTTAGTAGCTCCTCAAGCATTACCTTTGGACTACTTGAGTGCTTAATGCTTTCCTTTTCTGGCTTGTCAGGTTAGGTTAAATGCTTTGATCTATTTAGATTTGAAGTTGTCCTATGCTTGTTCCAATTTTGGGTTATTAATTGAAAATTACCCTCTTGAGATGTTCAAAGTTTAAGATATTGTTAACAACTACATCCTGCTTTAAACTTCTCCAGAAAGTTACTTTCTTCCTCTCCAAGCTCAGGTGTATTTACTAATTAGGGAACCCCTGCGGGTAAATAGTTGTACTTGATTGTAATAAAGGATATCAAACTAAAGGGGCTGATTTCCAATTGAGCGCCATACTTTAAATTGCGGTTTGTAAGGATTACTTATAATCTTTAATATTTTCTTTCCACTTCTCAATTATGTGCTACTTTGTGTTGATCTGCTTCTAATAACATATTAAAATTATTATAGCAGAATGAACATTTACTTAATATACTCATAATTTTGAAACAGCAAAAGCTGTTTGATTATTAGTTAGTAAAATTGAATTAAGGGAGCTTCATAAATATATCACCAAAACACAGAAAAATCACAAGGCATGTCTGATCTTCCTTTCCTTAAGGTGATAAGTATCAGCTGTAGCTTCCACTGAATCCAGGTTGATAGACAAAGCAGTGACCTCCAGGAGCAGATGGAAGTCTAAACTCCAACATGCAAGGAACTGGTGGTGAGTTTGTTAGGAAACCAGGAGCTGATTTTGCGTGTGTTTGTTTGTCTGGGCTGGGGGCGGGGGATGAGGTTACAGGGCAAGGTCACGTCCAACCCAGGGATTAAAGAACCACATCAATACTGAGGTTCCTGTGCCTCTGGGCCTCATACAGTAATCCATCAGATCAGGACATCCTCTTCTACCTGTCTCTGCAGGCTGGACAGCCGATCAATAGCGGTATGCTTGGAATGGCTGACAATCGCATGCGGAATACTGGGGGAAGATGTGCAACATATAAAGTTGTTTTTCAACAGACCCTGACGTCTGTGTTAATTTTGATCATCAAAATTGTATAATTGGTGCAGAAGGACCAGAAAAAGGGCATATGAAGCAGCTCAAAGAAGGATCGTAGCTGTAAGTGAGAAATAATTAATATGGGGGTAGGGTGCCAGGGTCACAAGGGGATAATGAAGATCTCACCAAAAAGATTTCTTTAGATGAATCTCCGATCTTTACCCAACTAAAAGCACATTAATCCTGGACATATAAAATGTGGGGATCTGAATGATTATTGACATCTTTACAGCCGTGTAATATCGCACTGAGTCCAAAGTCTATCAATCATGTGCACACTTGTGGTGCCTGGTGACATTTATCATGCCACAACTTTCATCTTTGAGACTTGAGAAGTCTCTTGGACCCCCCATCCTTATATTATTGAATATTTCTGCTGTTAAATATTTATAACCTTTTAATTGATATTCTCTTTTCTGCTCCATTAGCTCTACTGGGGATCTGTGGTCCCTGGCAGAGAAGCTCCACCACTGTCTGGCCCACACACTGAGACAGGTGGAGACACTGACCACAGGGAAAGAGGACGAATATAAACGCATAGGAGCAGAGTGGAAGAAAACAAAATAAAGCAATAAAATGAGTAGAGATGGGATGATTATTTGTATAAAGTTATAGAAAGGTTTAAAATGAAACAAAGTGACTGGAAACTTATCTAGCTGTAAAGAGAATAAAGCCCTACCTTTTCCCCCATTGATTGCTAAACACTGCCAGTCAGCTGGCTGAAAATAGATTCCTATACTTCCCCTTCAACTTAAATACAAATATTTCTACCTAAAAAAACATAATGTGAAAAGCAACAAAGTGTGACATTTCATTCCTAGGAAGGTAGAGTGCTTAAAAAAAACTGTTGGCTATTAAGAAACTAACTTCAACACCGTGAGAAAATATACAATAATGTGTTTTGAAAAAAAAAAGAAACAAAAAACTGCAAATTAATTGAAAACCATGACTAAATATAACTGCTTTGAATAAGTAGCAATAGTACTAGAAGTAGAAGAAGTAATAGTATCAGAAGTAGTTACAAAAGAAGTGATTTACTTATTTTAAATAAGTTTAAACAAAAAAAAGCATGTAAACATCATAAAAATCAATTGAGGAATATGATTGATATTAACACTAAACAGAAAAAAATGCTAATATCTCTATCTATCTATCTATCTATCTATCTATATATATATATGGGGAGTGTTGGCCTAGTGGCTTAGAGCAATGTGCTTGTGCTCAGAGAAGGTTGCAAGTACTCGGTTTGATCCCCACAGCCTCCACCCTGGGTTCCTGAGCAAGACCCTTAACCCCCACACTGCTCCCCTGGAGCCGCACAGTGGCATCCCAATGCTCCCCAGGGGGATAGGTTAATGGCACAGATAAATTTCTCCAATGTGAGATCAATAAAGTTCAATTTTATTATTATTATTATTACATAGGAGCATATATATATATATATATCTATATATATATATATATATAGATATATATATATATATATATATATATATATATATATATATATATATATTTATTGTCT